TGACAACTGCCGGTTCTCGGCAGTACTACTTTCCTCACGATCTGACAGCGTGAGGAAAGTGCAGCCGAGAACCGGCACTTGCATTTCCCTCTGATCAGCGTGTCATTGGACACCGCTGATCAGGTGGTAAAAGGCCGCTGTGATTGGCCTTTTACCACATCACGTGATCAGCTGTGTCCGTAGGACACAGCGATCACGGAGATCGCCGGGTACGCGCCCCCTGGGGCGCGCAGGAGAGCGCGCGCCCCAGGAAGGACGTCATATGACGTCCACTCAGAACTGGCCGGCCGCAGTGCAGCCGTCATTCGGCTATCTGCGGTCGGCAGCTAGTTAATAAGATCAGGGGTGTGGAAATTTTTTAAAAAACTACTTGTCCAGGAATAAATCGGAGCCCCAATTTACTTGTCCCGATTAAAAAAAAAACAAAACAAATTTTTAAACCAAAACTATTTAAATCGAAGGTGATATTTGGAATGTCTGGGGCTTTTAAAAACAAAAGGGACTTTATGGCAACTTAAACGTTTAATATTTTTACCATTGTGCTGTTTATCTCCTCCTCTCCTCCCTGCCTGTCTCCAGCCCCACCCCTGGGGACTAGCAGGGAGGGGAGAGACCTTGCAGTGTAATGAACATCGATTGGGTGCTCTTCAGGAAAGGGGAGTGTCCGGCTCATCTTTTATCTCTTTCGCTGCCAGAGCCGTTTTTTTTGCATTTTTTGCACAAGTTTAAAAAATCATTTTAGGCCTGAAGATTACATAAAACCCCTTAACACATGTTTTCTGAAAGCAGAGACCCTAGAGAATAAAATAGTGGTATTTTTTATTCCGCATGATATTACCGCAAAATTTCAGTAAAAAATACTAAAAGTTATTTTTAGGGCACAATAAAAAGCAATAAATTACCCTATTTTTTTGTAAAATATAAAAGATGAGGTTACGCCAAGTAAATAGATATCAAACTTGTAAAACCTTAAATTTGTGCACGCTTGTGAAATGGCGACGAACTGCAGTATCCTATATTTGCTATAGGTGACGCTTTTAAAGCTCCTTATAGGTCATCAGTATAGTGTTCTGGAGGAGGTCTGCTGCTAGAAGTATTGCTCTCATTCTGGTGTGCGTGGCGATATGTGACGTGTATTGCAATTGACGATTTCATGCGTAGGCACCTTAGCGTTTGCTGTTACGTTTGTATGTGGGGGTGGGGGGCCTCAATTTTTTTTGGGGGGGGGGATAGTATGTGCTTGGGTGTAACTTTAATTTTTTACAATTAAAAAAAGTTTGCTTTTTTTTATTTTTATTTTTTTTTTTTTCATCACATAGGGGACAAAGTCCCCCTATGTGATGATTTTTTGGTGACAGGTTCTCTTTATTGAGGCATCCAGGGTCTAAAAGATCCCCAATGTCTCCCCTGTACTCCCCTGAATGTAATGCAGTGCCCATCACACTGCATTACATTCTTTCCTTGCTTCCGGAGACCCGGAAGTGACATTATAACGTCACTTCTGGGTCAGGACAAGAAGGGGAGTGGAGCGGATGTGTCCGCTCTCCTCCCTCCCCTCTAGCTGACAGCAGTGAGCTGGTCCCGGGCCCACAGATGGGCAGCAGAGCCTGGGAGAACAATGGTTCATCAGCAGCGGTAAAGGTAAATGGATCCCTTTCAAGATTTTTTAAAATGTATAATGGTACTAGACAGTGATGGCCATTATACCCGTTGTATATTTGTTATATCCCTAGAACCTCTATTGGCGACAGTAAGAAAGAGTGTAGATGTTAGAGGAATTAAAATAGGGGATGTAGATCACAAAGTAGCAGCATACGCAGATGACATGCTGTTTATATCATGAACCCCAGATTAACGTTACCCAGTTTAACCACTTGCCTACCAGGCACTTATACCCCCTTCCTTACCAGGCCAATTTTCAGCTTTCAGCGCTGCCGCACTTTGATTGACAATTGCGCGGTCATGCAACATTGTACCCATATGAAATTTTGATCATTTTTTTCTCACAAATAGAGCTTTCTTTTGGTGGTATTTAATCGCCACTGGGCGCTTTACTTTTTGCGCTATAAATTAAAAAAATGTGCAAAAAAATTTGAAAAAAAAAAAAAGTTTATTTGTTTCTTTTATAAAAATTTTTCAAACAGGTATTTTTTCTCCTTCACTGATTTGCGTTGATGAGGCGGCACTGATGGGCACTGATAGGCGGCACTGATGGGCACTGATAAGCAGCACTAAAGGGCACTGATAGGCAGTACTAATGAGGTGGCACGGATAGGCGGCACTGATAGACAGCACTAATTAGGGGTCACGGATAGGCGGCACTGATAGGTGACACTGATGATGGGTACTGATAGACGGCACTGACTGGCATCACTTCTGGGCACTGACTGGCGGCACTGACTGGCACAACCCCTGGGCACTGACTGGTGGCAGCACTGCTGGGCTGCACTGGTGGGTGGCACTGGTGGGCAGCACTGGTGGGTGGGCACAGGTGGGGGCACTGGTGGCACAGGTGGGTGGGCACAGGTGGGTGGCACTGCTGGGCACATGTAGGTGGCACTTCTGGGCACAGGTAGGTGGCACTGCAGAGTGGCACAGGTGGGTGCACTGCTGGGCACAGGTGGGGGCACTGCTGGGCACAGGTGGGGGCACTGCTGGGAACTGTGGTGGGCGGGGGGGCTAGTGGGCGCACTGCTGGGCGGAACTTGCGGGTGTCACTGCTGGGCACCGATCATCAGGGCACTGATCATCAGTGCCCTGATGATCGGTGCCGATCCCCGCTCTGACAACTGCCGGTTCTCGGCAGTACTTTCCTCACGATCTGACAGCGTGAGGAAAGTGCAGCCGAGAACGGCACTTGCATTTCCCTGTGATCAGCGTGTCATTGGACACCGCTGATCACGTGGTAAAAGGCCGGTGGGATCGGCCTTTCACCACATCACGTGATCAGCTGTGTCCGTAGGACACAGCGATCACGGAGATCGCCGGGTGCGCGCCCCCTGGGGCGCGCAGGAGAGCGTGTTCTGGGAGGACGTCATATGACGTCCACTCAGAACTGGCCGGCCGCGGTGAAGCCGTCATTCGGCTATGCGCGGTCGGCAAGAGGTTAATGGGATTATTAAAACAATATGGTGAGCTTTCAAATTTGAAAATAAACCCCACAAAAATCAGAGATTTTGAATGTTAACATTTCAAAGCAAGAAAAGCAGACCCTACAAAAGAACTTTCCATTTATATGGACGGAGAAGGAATTAGATTATTTGGGAATAAAGCTAACCCCCTCAATAAAAAATATATACCAGGTTAATTATATACCATTAATAAATGAAATAAAAGAAGAGATGAGAAGAATTTCAAGGGGTAGGGTCTCCTGGTTCGGGCGTATAAATCTGGTTAAGATGGTGATAGTCTCTAAAATCCTGTATAAATTTCATATGCTCCCAGTTCATACACCAGGATCGTTTTTTGGGATAATAAAAAAAATAATACTTAAATATATATGGGCTAATAAAATATTAGAATTAAATACAAAGTTTTGTGTAAAAATAAAGGGAAAGGGGGATTAAATTTGCCCAATATTAGGACTTATTACACTGCGGTGATGTCACCAGTAGTAGACTGGACTTATAATTTACTGGAGAACAGTTGGGTTAAAATGGAAAGTATTTTAAGTAATGCATGTCTTGAGAAAATTATTTGGATACCACGAAAGTTTCGCACTATGGATGAAACTAGTAGCACGTTGACACGGGAGGTTTTGAGAGTGTGGGATGGAACACATAAGCATATGGGGTGGAAGTATAATTCTTTGTTGATTCCTTTGGTGGGGACGGAGTATTTCCCACCACAGAATGACAAAATTTCAGGGAAGTGGTTTAAAAACAAAGATGCATGTTTAAGGGATATAGTAAATAAGGGGGAGTTGTACATGTTTCAAGATTTAAAAAGGAAAAAAGACTTATTTGTTGTATTAGATGTAATGAAATATTATCAATTAAGGCATTTTGTTTCAAAGCTTCCCCAGCCTTTCAGGATGCCGGAGGATATGCTCCCATTTCAGAAAATGCTGAGCTGTGACAGAGCTCCAAAGCATATCACTTCTAAGATATATAAGATCCTTATCGAATTGATGGGAGCTGGCCCCCCGCTGTTCTTTAGAGAAATGGAAAGGGAGCTGGGAATGAAAATAAGTGAACAGCAGATAAATAAAATGTATAAATTGACACACGGGGCAATGAACATGAGCACGGTTTAAATGAATTATAGCTGTTTAACCAGATGGTATTTAACACCGAGTGTGGCACATAGACAGCGAAGAGAGGTATCACCGTTGTGTTGGAGAGGATGCAGATTAAAGGGAACTATGGCACATATATGGTGGGATTGTGTTAAAATACAGATGTTTTGGCAGGATATTATAGAAGTCATACAAGAAATATTGGGGATCACTATGCAGAAAGAGCCATGGGGATGTTTGTTCTATGGGTCAGAAATACCTTTGAAACAATACAAAAAACAGCATATTATATCATTTAATTGGTGCAGTTAAGGTACTCATCCCAAAATGATTGATGCCAGAGAACTGAACTGAAGATCAAGAAATGTATAGGAGGAGAGGATTAAAGAAAAGAAATATAGTTATGTACAGGAAAGGATGGAAAGAGTTGGACAGAGTTACATGGACCGGGGGAAAATTGGGAGGGGTGGGTAGGGTGGGGAAATGTGGGAGAATGGTCTGTATTTCTTATGTAATAATGATGAAAGAGTATTGTTTTAAGAATTGGAAAGAAATAAAATATTAAATAAAAGACATAAATAAAAAAAAAGAACATACATATTCCACTGAGTATATTGTCATAAGCTGTAAAACTGTTGATGTGCAGAAATGTCTCTGCCTTTTCTTGTTTTTTTTTTTTTTTTTACGATTTCACTTAACTGTTTTAAAGTCTCCCAAGAAAGCAAAGAAGAGAGCTGAAGGGGCCAACTCCAATGTATTCTCCATGTTTGAACAAACCCAGATTCAGGAATTTAAGGAGGTGAGTAAACCAGTCAGATATTCTCTTAAGGCGTATACTGTTATTGTACTTGCTATGGGCCAAAGAGCTCAGTTGCCAATAGAGTAATACAGTAGTTTAAATTATAAATGAAAGTCAAGATCTATAAAAACAAAATGAAAATCATATATACTTTGAGAAAACAACCAGACATAAAACAGTGAAAAGACAACATTTCTACACAGCAAATGTTTCAAAGGTACAGAGCCTGCTTTCTTAGCACAGTCTCACTGCCTATGGCAAGGGGTCACTTTCTGTCCAATCTGTCTCTTACAAAAGTCCACATATTAACAAAATCAATAAAGGAAACAAATGAATAGAGGCTCATAAGAGTGAATATGAGTACTGTACTGTTTTCTGTATTATAATTGCTTTACAGGTAATATGTGCATATGAGCTGTAAATACTGATTGTTTAATTGTAAATAAAGTATGTAGTTTTCTTCTGTTTTCAATTGAATCTGTGGTTTGCCCATACGTACAAAACCCATGAATGGTCCCATGTGTTCCTTGTACTCACCACCCACCCACACACCAGCCTGTATGCATGTTGTAGCATAGAGAAGGAACCCCATGTAAGCCACTAGTCATACTGGTTGAAGCTTATAATTGACAGTACTGCTGCTTGCTGATTGGCCATACAGTTCTGCGTCATTAGTGGAAGGGGGTCATTCACATGCTGCCCCATACAAAAAAATACCGACTATTAGCCTTTGCTTCTTTTCTTTACATATTACATCACTGTTTGGTATAGCATTAGTAAAAAAAAAAAGTGTGTGGATGTGATCTCACGGACTAGCCCCTCATTGGGAATGTTTTTGCTGTTGGTGGACTTTGTATACAGTTGGAGGATGAGCAAAGAAATATATACTGTCTGACATCGTCCAAATATGTCTTATAGTTTGAGGCCTTGTGTACACTGCAGCTGTTAAACTGGCATTTAGGAGCAGTCTGGCGTTTTTTTGTCTAAAGCTCCTGAACTCTCCTCTATGTTATCCTATGTGTCCATGTACACAGTCATTTACAGGCGTTTACAGGCAGCTGAGTTTACTGGCATTTTTCTGAAAGCAAAAAAAAACTGAGTTTACCGGCATTTAAAACACCAAATGCTCCTAAACACTCATAAACGCATCTAAACACGTGTTTAGTGCCTCAGCATTAATTAATTTCAGTGCCCAGAATAAATTAAAACTCTGGGCAAGGAAATACCATATTTTTCGCTCCATAAGACGCACTTTTTTCCCCCAAAAAAAGAGGGGAAAATGTTAGTGCGTCCGGCATCTTTAGTGTGGGCACCCGGCTGTGACAGCCAGGTGCCCACTGTGATGCGCGAGAAGCGCTGCGCTTTGTGCATGGTCACACATGACAGGTCCCAGAAGACGCCGGGCCATTCACAAAGCGCAGCGCAGTGTCACAGCCGGGTGCCCACACTAAAGGGATGACAACTCCGCGGAAGTGTCAAATTCAGGTATCCGCTTCCCCTCCCTCCCCAAAGGTCCGCAGTCTCTTGGTCATCCCCTGTACTGTCTGCAGTCTCTGGTCATCTCCTGTACTATGTCCGCAGTCTCTGGTCATCCCCTGTACTATGTCTGCAGTCCCCGGACATCCCCTGTACTGTCTGCAGTCTCTGATCATCTCCTGTACTATGTCCGCAGTCTCTGGTCATCCCCTGTACTATGTCCGCAGTCTCTGGTCATCCCCTGTACTGTGTCCACAGTCTCTGGTCATCTGTACTGTGCCCGCAGTCTCTGGTCATCCCCTGTACTATCTCCGCAGTCTCTGGTCATTTCCTGTACTGTGTCCGCAGTCTCTGGTCACCTCCTGTACTGTGTCCGCAGTCTCTGGTCATCTGTACTGTACCCGCAGTCTCTGGTCATCTCCTGTACTATGTCCGCAGTCTCTGGTCATCTCCTGTACTGTGTCCGCAGTCTCTGGTCACCTCCTGTACTGTGTCCGCAGTCTCTGGTCACCTCCTGTACTGTGTCCGCAGTCTCTGGTCACCTCCTGTACTGTGTCCGCAGTCTCTGGTCACCTCCTATACTGTGTCCGCAGTCTCTGGTCACCTCCTGTACTGTGTCCGCAGTCTCTGGTCACCTCCTGTACTGTGCCCGCAGTCTCTGGTCATCTCCTGTACTGTGCCCGCAGTCTCTGGTCATCTCCTGTACTGTGCCCGCAGTCTCTGGTCATCTCCTGTACTGTGCCCGCAGTCTCTGGTCATCTCCTGTACTGTGTCCGCAGTCTCTGGTCATCTCCTGTACTATGTCTGCAATCCATTGGTTCAGAATATTTTTATTCTTGTTTTTCTCCCCTAAAACCTAGGTGCGTCTTATGGAGCAAAAAATACGTTAAATAAACTCCCAAACACCAAATGGTGCTAAACTCTGGTTTGAAAAATGCACCTGATGTGAGTTTTTAGCGCTGATTTTCTCCTGTCAGGAGAGACAATGTTTATAATAAACCAGTGTACATGAGGCCTTATGACAATTTCTAACACTTTTGGTTTATTTTAACATTTCTGAAGCATCCCAGTCTATGCAATTATACAAAAAGATGGCCATTGAAATTAGACATGGAATGCTCCTTAGCAAAATAAATAGCATGAGCCATTCCCATGCACTGGTCTGCTACAGTGATGGTGGTCCTCTCCTTAGAATGATGACCTTCAAACGATCTTTTAATGTCATCAGTTACTGTATTTCACATTCTCATGTATGGAAAGGACAACTATGTGTCAAAACCAGACAAACATACAGACAGAAAAACTTTCAGAATTATCAGAACTGGCTAACATTACTACTTTATTTTTGAATATGAAGGCATTTACCATCATGGATCAGAACAGAGATGGATTCATTGACAAAGAAGATCTTAGAGATACCTTTGCTGCTTTAGGTATGATCACTTTAATGAAATTTTATAGAGCAACATTAAGGGGAATATTTATAAAGCAGTGAATTTGACTATCACTAAAATTTACTACAGGTGAATCAGTCACTGTAATTTAAAACGCATGCATCAGGAAAATCCACCTATAGTGAACTGTTGGTGAATGTCACAGTTGCTGCTTTATATACAGTATATACTCTTTAGCCTAGAAAGAATGAAAAAGCATGATCTTACCTAATAAATCAAACATTTAAGGACTGCCAAAACCAAAGCACATATGGCTTAATAAAATACTAAAACAAAATTATATTTTTATTATTATAATATCTTAATATTTGAGATATTTCTCATTGCAGTAATAGTTTCTATATAAATGAATTCTGACTTGTACATTGTACATGTAGGCCTCTCTTAGCTACATCCTGGGAGCAGTGCAGCCAGGCTTCATGAGGTACATAAATTGCCTATACCTATAGCAAGGGCATTATTCAGGTTTAGTCAGAGCTGTCCCAGTTTGTTTTTGTCTACAGACACCCCTTATCTGCATAGGCAGTTTTTTTCATAGAGGTGAACTAACCAATTAATTAATTATCTTTTTGTAATCTGTTTTTATACGCACTGTGTTAGGGTCACGTAGACTACATTATTGTCCAGCTGAGTAAGGCTCATCATTTATTTAATGTAGCAATGATGTTACCATTTTGTTTCTCTTACCATATTTTAGTGTCTTAAAATGCAAAAGGTTCCTTTGTAGAAAGTATAGAACCAGTGCTTGCTTGAAAGTAAGGTAGACTGCAGTAAGCACTGCTTAAACAACCTGATGTCTAAGAAAAAAGAAGTGGCAACATAAGGCATTTGGCAAAACACACAGTTAAAGTACCTTCCAAAAAATTAATGTGTTGTTTTTAAATCCAGACAGGCCTTCCACACACTACAAGGTAGTTATCATTTACTTTTCTCCGCTACAGTCAAAGAATAGTAACATTCCTCTCCTCCAATTAGAAAGATGCATTTATTACGTTCACAGCACTACAGAATGCAATAAAGCCTGATCGGTTTAAAGAATTTCCCCTCTCCCAGTCTGGTGGCCCATCCCACATGGAAGAAAACTATATTTGAAATATATTTCAAAAATACTCTTCCCAAATATATTGCCATATATTTGAAATGCTACAATTTTGGCCATATTTAATATATATATATATATATATATATATATATATAAATCTGAAGAATATATTTTTTAAAAAATATATATTTATTTAAATATATTCAGATTTTTCTTAACATATAAAAAAGTAATTTTAACATATATATTTTTACATATATTTGTAAATGCATTCCAAAAATGTAGATTTGTATTTTTAAAGACATACAGTATATTTGAAATGTATTTTTAAAAATATGTTTCATATATTTTGTAATAAAAAAACGCATTTCAACATGCAGTATGTGTATGTATATATATATATATATATATATATGTATTGAATATGGTCAAAATTGTAGCATTTCAAATATATGGCAATATATTTGGGAAGAATATTTTTAAAATATATTTCAAATATATTTTTCTTCCATGTGGGATTCAAACCAGATGCATTGGGACAGCGGTGGTGTGCACTGACAAAAAGTATGGCATTCAGTACTTTTTTTCAGCACAGCATAGTGCAAAGCAATCCAGCGCATTGCACCATGCTGCAGCCCATAGATCCTAATGAAATGTCACTTATGGGATTACAGCAGACTAGTTCAAAGACATGCTGAGGTAATATTTAAATATACATTCAGGTATTTTTAATGACTGCATAACTGGTTTCAGTTATGGTCTTTTACATCTGCCTGTACTTACACTTTAAAGTAACATATAATCCCTTGTTATCACATGCTATGTTCCCAAAACATACATTAGTGAAATGTTATACATAACTTTTGCACATGTCCTTACAAGAAGCTGTAACATTATCCACATAATCATACAGGATTCAGCATTCATTATTACCACTATAGTGTATACAGCTGTCATCTGAATTAGGAAGAGCTAAAAATAGCCTATTTCAATAGTTGTGTATTGCCCTTTGATACTAGAAGCATCTAATTACAGACAGTTACTCAATATTATTAGGTATTGGAAATGTATCTATTTAGAGGACACCTAGATGGCTTTCTCAGTGAGGAACTAATCAATGGATTGCAAATGAATGTGACTGTTTGTGAAGTGTTAACACATACTTTCTGATATTCGACAAGGTCGTCTGAATGTGAAGAATGAAGAACTGGAAGAGATGTTACAAGAAGCCCCAGGACCAATTAACTTTACTGTGTTCTTAACAATGTTTGGAGAGAAGCTAAAAGGTGGGTACCACAGCATGAAGATATCTAAACCTCTAGCAGGCCACCTAGGTATCCTTATTTGAGTAGAAACCTTGAGAGGTCAGTTAGCTCATGTATGCTGTCAAAAAGCTTCCTTTGTGGCTGTAAAAGCCTCCACTGTTCTGGAAAAGCTTTCCACAAGAGTTTGGAGAGTGTCTGCAGGTATTTTGGCCTGTTCATTCAAACAAGTACTTGTGATATCAGGTAATAAATTTGGATGAGAAGGCCTGGCTCATAATCAGCATTCTAGTTCATTACAAAGATCTTCATTAGGGCTTTGATTGGGTTCTGTGCAGGCCACTTTTGTTCCTCCACACCAAACTCAGCAAGCCATGTTTTATGGACTTGAATATGTGCACAGGGGCGTAATCATGCTGGAACAGAAAAGGGCCTCCCTCAAGATGTTCACTCAAGCTTGGAAGTACAAAACTGTCTAAAATTTCAATGAATTCTATAGTGTTTACTGGAAAGTCTTGAACTCAATAATTTGTAGGGATGGCCACATAGTTTTAGCTGCATAGGTAGGTATGATCGTCAGGTGTCTGTAAATGTTTGTCCATATTGTGTATGTATGCAGTGTACCTATACTTGTATAGGAATTCAGATATCTGACCTATCTAGAACTGTTATGCTGCCCTTGTGTTGTATTATCTGCCATGGTATACAACAGAAGGAAGCAAAGTGTGAACTGCATGATTACTGGAATGGACATCACATGTATCTGGAATTTGCTTAGCATTATGACTGATTCCTTTGAAATATGTACCAATCTGATAATTTCTTGCACTTGTATATATTTAGTCATCTATGCTAAAAAAAATACACATACAATTATGTCATTTTATTAAAATATGCAACTAAATGTAATTTGTGAATATAATGTACCCAATTAATTATTTCAATTGTAATGCTTCTTTATACATTCCAAAGCTTTTCTCTATGAAAGATACTGTTATTGCTATTTTCGTGGTCTTTTGACTCCCCCATATTTAGATTGACTATATATACTGAATAGATAGTTAAATAGATTTTTTTTTAAAGGATACATTCACCGTTTTACAAAAAATAATAAATTTACATTTTTTTTAAGGTAAAAAAATGTGTATTTATTTTTTTTTGTTTCTGGAGCCTCTAAAGCATTGCACCAGCGATCAGCAGATCACTGGTGCCATGCAGGTCTCCCTACAGACCTGTCAGTATATCTGCTTGCCCATATGGGATATATGGGCAAGCAGATATACTGACAGGAAGAATCAATGAGCTGTGAAGCACCGTGGTAATTCATTGAGAACTACAAGCTGACAGCCGCAAATGTTGTCGGGACTTGTAGTTCATTCATTCATTCACAGAACACTGGAATGAATGACGTGGCCGGACAGGAGGAGCCCTGTACGAACGCGTTTTTTAAAAATTGTGACAGCTATGGGGGACAAGAAGATCCCTCGCTAGCTGTCACAATGGGGAGTGTGGGCCGGTCCGTTTGTAACATGTTTTATGTTACACCCTGAATATGTTTTGTAACATGTTACGAAAGGTGAACTTACCCTTTAAACTAGAGTTTAGGCTACATTCACACTATAGTGTTTTGTGAATGCACGCAGAATCTTGTGCATACTTACAGAATGCAAAAAGCGCGTGCTGCAATTTTAGTGCCATTCATTGTTAATGGCACCCCAAACATGGTAAAACAAATTAGCGGTTTTCACATGAAAAAATGCATGACAAAGGCAACAAAATGTGCAGTTTAAAAAGCAGGACTCTCGAAGGTCAAAAAGGTCTATGATTTACTTTACTGTGTTTGTCTCACATAGAGAAGCCTAGTAAATTGAATGGGCTGCACTATGCATCAGAATACTTTATTAATCCCTGAAGGGACAATGCGCAGAAACCTGCAACACAATTTTGCACGCACTTTCATAAAATGCTATAGTGTGAATGTAGACTTAGTGTCACTTTAAAGTCATGCACCTAGCCTGCTGAGAATCGTATATCGAACTGTAGTCTGAGGTAAAGCAGAACTCTACTCATCTGTTGTTGTTTTTTGTGGAGGCAGTGAGGGGGTGTTTTAATTGAATTCATCTCTTTGCCATTGTTCTGGTAACTCATGGCCGAAAGGACAAAGGGAATGAATGCAAATATGCTGTTCGCTTTGCAAGGGAATTTTCCCTTATCTTAGTGAAGGAGGTAAAGCTCTGCTGACTTCTTTTAGCCAATCATGTGCAAGCAAAATGACTGTTTTATTTTACAATTTGGGTAATGTCTCCATCCAGTAAGCTAAGAGGAACTTTCTTTGTAAAGTTAAAATTCCCTTGCAAGGTGAATAGCCTATTTGCCTTACATAAATCAACCCATAAAATCCTGAACAATGCTTTACTAGACTTTCTTATCCTACAGCCCCTATTTTCCAGTTCTCGAAAGTATCTCATGCCCGTAAGCTTCTATGCAGATATTTTCAAAGCTAGAAGATTTCCTCTTTGATAAAAGCCATTGATTTGAGTTGCTCCTTATATGTCAAAACATAGTTGCTCCTTATAATATCTCAACAACTTCTGCAATCATCTCAGCTTCCAGATATGCAGCTGGTTTTCAGGATATTCAATTTAGCAAATAATAGACAAAATAGTATGTTTAATGTGTCTTTTGTTATGCAGGTGCTGACCCAGAGGAAACCATTCTGAGTGCATTCAAAGTCTTTGATCCTGAAGGCAGTGGACTTCTAAAATCAGATTAGTAAGTTTAGTACTCTAAAGACATGCAGTAATGGATTCCTGTTCCTGGTTGCCTTTAGAAATGTCTTTTTTATGTTTTATTTTTAGTATTCGAGAAATGCTTATGACCCAAGCTGAAAGGTTCACAAGCGAAGAGGTACAATTTTCAACCTATCTGCTTTCTTTATAAATAAAAGAAAACCTGCTTTCTTACTAACCCTAACCACTAGCTTTAGCTGGCTGTTCTGCATTTTAAAGATTTTTCGTAGACTAATGCAGCTGTGAAATAAGTGTCATTTCAACACAGCATATTATTACTTAAATAATGTATAATTCAGATAATGTAAAAAGGATGGAAACGATCTGGTCAAAAAGAGGTTTAAATGAAATCACAGTAGAAATAGGAACAACTAGCTGGTGTATTACTTCCACCTCAAGAAATGCTTTTGATTTTACAGTAGCCCTTGTGTTCCTTTGTTGTAGGTCGACCAGATGTTCACAGCTTTCCCCCCTGATGTCACAGGAAATTTAAACTACAAGAATCTTGTTCACATCATCACTCATGGTGAAGAGAAAGAAGAGTAAACCAGCATGGTTCTTGACTCTTCCTCAGTGTCCGCCTGGCATTTCTTTCTCATTAAAGTTATTTTTGACTCAGATTTTTTTTTTATTAGTTATGTTAAACCTTGAGACATATGGCATAGGCTTACTTTGGAAGTCTACATTTAGCATATTTGCTTGGTAACCCTATGGCATATTTCTTAAAAGATGCCTCATCTTCTTGCCTTGTAAAACCAATAATGTGAACATTTGTATAATGTATGATAATAAATTATATTTCTATATCTGCTAAAAAAAAGGAAAGCAGATGTTGCTTTTATGTTTTTTGGAAAATAAATCAAGTTTATTTAATAGAAATGTTCATTATCTGGAGAATACCATTTTCAAAGGCACTTCACTACATTGTATTGTGATAACATCTCCAATAAACATTCTATGAAAATGATTGTCTGTGATCATGTTACAGGATGCTAGCCAGATCCTATGACAGTGCACCACTTTTCAGCTGGCGATGCACTTGCTCACAGCTCTAGGGTCCATTGCACACAGGGAGTCTAGGAGTAGTGCGTTCCTCCCAGTGTTTTAGTGTGCCTGGGAGGGACAAGTACAGCATCAAGCCCCACTGCAGACAGCCTGTCAAAGCCTATGGCAGGCTGTGGCTGGGCTGAACACTCTACTGAGTGGTACTGCATCTAGGGCCCTGTGCATTCAAAAATAAAGGTCTGGAACACAGAAGAACTGCATTCCATATGCTAGGCTTGCATTTGTGGTGCAGTATTGCAATCCTCCTGAATGCCTGTCAGCCACACATGCCCCAATCTCTTAAAAGTAATCCCCTACAGATCATTCTTGAAAGAGTAATGCAGATATAAATGAGCCCTTAAGCTGACCTTAGACTGTTCGAATTTCATTTGGATCCTGCTGGCTCAGACGAAATTTGGGCAGCACCAGCTGCCTAGATACAAAAGCATGATATGGGAGGGGGGGGGGGGGGGTGGGATTCATCCATCTGCACTGTTTAGCGCTTGGTTGTTTATGCATTTGATTGGCCAGAGTATTATAACCTCTTCACGCTGGCATCTCCCGGCCCTATAAGGGGTTTTAGACGCCGGGAGGCGGGGATTTAGGGTCATGTGACTGCCATGATTCGCGGTCACATGATCGAAAAAAGGCCCTGATCACAAGGGGAAATCGGGACCTTCCGTGAGACACTGAATATGTGCTGGGAGTGCGCAGGGTGCACACTCTCAGTACATATGTGTTTTCAAATGGTACGCAAATATGCGGCCGCTCATCAAGACCCAGGTGCCGAGAGGCCGCATATTTGCATACAATCTATGTCAAGGGGTTCAATTGACAAGCATAAACGCCCAAGCACTAAACTTGGTTAGTGTTTAGACATGTTTACACGTGTTTTTGCCACGTTTAGCATTTTTTGTCCAAAACATTCCTCTCCTGAACATGATTCTTCTGCATTCAGGAGAGGGACAATTAACTGCACCTAAACTCTGCTCCTTCTAAACTCTGGTGAAAGCCAATGTGTACGTGGACAAACGTTTCCATTTAGGAGCAGTAGTGTACATGAAGCCTTCGTTGTTTGTTTCATTCTGGCTGCAAGCTGAACAAAATGAATCTGTACATGTAATGGCCAGCATTACTTTGTCTAAACTCTATAAGTAATGTCCTCAAAGACATTAGATGATAATTGTCAAGTGTATGTCAAGCCAAAAATTTTTAGGTTTGTTTTGTATAGGGTGGGGAAGGAGAAGAGCCCTGATTGTTACTGCTATTCAGAGCTCCATTTGAGATTTTTTCCTCACTTCCTCTCCTGCTGATGTTTTACTAAATATACTCTCCAACAGCAACACATACAGAAAAAGGATTTTTTTTTTTTTTTTGTAAAGAAGATTGTGTTACAAAAGTAGCTAAAGTTAATCTTTTCTGACAATGTAATGTTTGATTGTCGTTATAGTGGTGAATTTTTGTGCCTGGAGTTGGGCTTTATTCTGACAACAGATGCAACTGCCGAGTCTTTGAAAATTGACACATATGGAGTTGATTTACTAAAACTGGAGAGTGCAAAATCTGGTGCAGCTGTGCATGGTAGCCAATCAGCTTCTAACTTCAGCTTCTTCAATTAAGCTTTGAGAAAAAAAACCTGAAAGCTGATTGGTTTCTATGCAGAGCTGCACCAGATGTTGCACTCTCCAGTTCTGGTAAATCTTTTAAGTTAAAGCATAACTAAACCCAAGAACAAAAATGTCATATATTGCAGCTTACAGTCCTTATATGTGGTGGCTTCATATTTTCAGCACTTACTGGAAATACCTGTTGATCATGAACAGAAATGCTGTAATATATAAATTGACATTACTTTCCATTATATTACCTATATATTTGTCAAGCCAAAACTTTTTAGTTTTTGTTTTTTATAGAGTGGGGAAGTGGAAGGCCTGCTATTCATAGCTATGTTTAAGATTTTTCCACACTTCCTCTCCTGCTGATGTTTTACCAAACAGACTCCCCAACAGCAACACATTTCAGTTATATTACCTACCTTACCACATATTTAGTGACATTTTTTTGTGTGTGTCTCGTTTAGATGACTCAGCAATTGTATACATTGTTATAATTCCTTTTATATGGGGATTTTTGTGTGGCCTCTTTATTTTAAGTTTTGGTTCACTATGACCTGAAAGTCGCACAACTTGCAGTGCGACTTTCCCAGGCAACTTGAGTACTACTTTGAAGCAACTCTGAAACAACTCGGAAGCAACTTTCAGACAATGCCTGGGTAATCTTCCTGTAATGTCGGATCCAAATCACATCAATATAGATGAGGATCCGACTTTGAGGTGACCTCCATTAAAGTGTATAGGCACAAGTCGGATGGAAGTTGCCTTGAAGTAGTCCAGGAACCTTTTCTAAAGTCGGAGCGACTTCAGTAGTGTTAATTAAGACAGCTCTCATTGACTAACATGGGATTTCACATGTCATGAGACTTGGGGTCTCAAAAGTCGGATGCCAAGTCACGGCACTGTGAACTGAGCCTAAGAGCTACTACTGGTACTTTATTTTTGAATTAACTAACAAAACATTCTGATTTTTTTTTATAACAAATTCTTCTTTGGTTGATACCCTAAGCTTTTCTTTTGTGTCTCAAATAAGATTTTTCTTTTTTTGTCTGTGTTTTTCTGTCTGCCTTCCTGGTGCAGATATCCCCTTACTTCCTTTGTGGTGAAACCAATGACACTGAGTTAAAAAAGTGAAAGAAATTCTCTCTAATGAAGACTTGAAAAGAAAGAGTTTTAATACTATCCCACTGTATCCAAAAAAAGTGCTCTTTCAAATAGAAAAGTAAACGTTAACTTGGAGCTTTACTACTTCCCTGTACTATGTACAAATACAAAAAGGCAAAAAAATATTATGGTGCAGAACTGACATATTTCTAAATGTGAAAATACATTGGTCTTTTAAGGCAGTGTTTCGCAACCTTTTTTTTTTTTAATCAAGGCACCCTTTAACTTTCTGCACAATCTGGAGGTACCTCTTTCTAAAGTAAAAAACTAACCTAATAGTTTTACATCTTGCAGCAGCATCCACACATAGGACACAATATTACAGGTGGTTTATTCTTCCAAAGCAAATACACCTCTGCACACTGGTACTGAGTAGTATTATAATGTTTCTCTTCTCCCTCAGGTCATGTGAACCCATTGCTGACAGAGGAGCAAACAAGGATGTTGTACAAGCACCCAACATCCTTCTTAGGGCTCATGTACACTGCAGCTGATAAACACATTCAGGAGTTTTTCTGCGTTTTTTTTTCAGCAGCCCCTGAATGCTGCCTAATGTTTTCTTATGTGTCTATGTACACAGTCGTTTACAGGCAGTTGAGTTTACAGCCCTTTTTTTGAAGGCACCAAACTTGCATTCAGGAGTAGATTTTATCAGCATTTCAAACACTTGTAAACGCGGCTAACCGTGTTTATAAGGATTTGCGTTTAGAAGCGTTTTTTAACTGTTCCATATCCAGGTGCTGTCCAGAGCCTTTTTTCATTATCAGAAATGCATGCAAAAGGTTTTCCATGTATTCAAATGGACCCAGTACACCAGCGCAGTCAGTTCCAGGTTTTTTGTGAAGGAAAAAAATGGTAGAACGTGTCATATTATGCTCATGATGGACCTGATGACCTGTCTTTTAATGAATACAACCAGAAAAGAAAGGTCATCTCAACACATACTGCTCTCTGCTTCTGCTCTCTCTATTTCTCTCAAAATGTCTGAAATAGTTAATTTTTTACTGTTTTTCAGTGCATTCTGGGCATTTTGGAAGATCTCCTGAGGTTATCTTAAAAAAACGCTTCTAAACGCAAACCCGCATAAACGCAGTATGTAAATGCGGCTAAACTGACGTTTTTTAACCTACGTTTTCCAGCAGTCAGTTTCCATCATTCAGAGGAGTTTTCCAAACGTCCTGTGTACACGAGCCCTTATCAACCGATGGCGTCTTTGGTTGTTAGGGCGCTGGTGGGTAGACGGTTGTAATGGTGCACTACGAAAACCTGTGGCTTTATGTACTTATAGGGAAAGCTTGATCCACCTGGTGGTTTGTTTACAATCTTGGACAATTTTTAGGCAACTTGCCATGGCACCCCTAAAGAAACCTGAAGGCACCCTGGTTGAAAAAGGCTGCCCTAACGGGGAGATGCTTGTTTCTTTGATTAAGGGAATCTGAAAAACTTTCTTACATATTTAAGAAATAAATATTGTTCTTGCCATTGTATAACCACATAATGATTAATAGATAGCTAAATACTTAAAGCATAGTTCCACTTTTGCAGTCAAATTTGTAACATTTAATAAATGTAAAGGGGGTGTTAAACAAAAACTTTTGGCTGCAAAAGTGGAAATGTTCTTTTTGTTTATTTCACGATATAGTAATCTTAACTTTCAGTTTGCAGTGATCAAATCTCATCGGTCTATAACTTGAGAGAATTTTTATCAGGAAAAGTTTTCCAAGT